GGGGGTAGGGGATGGGGGAGGTGCGGGGGGATTGTGTATCAATGAGGGAGTTTTTCTTTTGCTTTTCAAGGAGAGGAGCAAAGGGGGGGAGGGGGGAGGGGTTTGTGCGGGGAGAAGGGTGCAACAATGAATGAATGGAATTCCAAAATCTCTGTAGATGTTCATTGAAATGAAAAATAAACAAACTAAATTTAAAAAAAAATTACTCTCACATGATAGCTATGGAAACAAGTTTTTAAAAGATCAAGTGATAGATCTCCGTAAGATTGTCAACTTGAGGGCACTTATCAAGCTGTATTCCACAAGAGTCATAGAACTTAATTTTTTGTCAACAGCTTTGCTAAGTGGATTTTAGAAATGAGTCAAAACACGTCTGAGTGGCTGCAACTTGGAGCAAAAGTGGCTTTTAAAACAACCTTGACAGCTTTTCCTGATGGTAACAGTGGGGGCAAGAAGAATTGTGTTCCCAAAGCAGCAGGTCCTTCTGGGTGAGGTCCGAAGAGGGTTCTGGGGTTCAGACACATGGAGCCCAGCTGCTGTCTAAGCAGTCAGTTACAGAGAGATAGATGCTGGAATTGCCAACTGTGGGGAAACAAGAAGAAAAGGATATAGGAGATGAAATCATGCCTATATAGCATAACATTGGTTTGAGGAGAAAAAGAATGAAAGCGTTACAATCACAGGGATAGAAAGATCTGGAAAAATGGCGTAAGTGGTTGTACAACTTGGAAAGTGTAACCAGTGTTAGTGAATTTCTCATGTAGAATCATGGAGTTGTCTCATGTTTTGTTGCATATATTTTCACCACATTAAAAAGAATGATGAAGAAGAATTGATGCCTTTAAGGGAACTCTGGTGGCCTAGTGAGAAGCTGCACTGTAATCCCAGAGGTATGCGGTTCAAATCCACCAGATGCTCTGCTGGAGAAGGAGGGGCCATCTCCTCCTGTACCTGTCAGATCCAATTTGATGGTACATGCACAAAATAAAATAAAATAAAATAAAATAAAAAGAATTGATGCCTTTGAGGTATGGTGCTCGAGAAGAGTACTGAACATCCCATGAACCGTCAAAGACCAAACAGAAATGTCTTGGGGAAGGCACAGCCAGAGTGCTCCTCGGAAGCAAAGCTTCATCTCATATCCTCTGGGCATGTTGCTAGGAGAGGCTTTTCCTTAGAGAGGGACATCATGCTTGAGAAGGTGGAAGGTCAGTGCAGAAAAGGAAGACCCTCGACCGGGTGGATTTACACAGAGTCTGCAGCAATGGGCTTGATTGTGAGGATGGCACAGGCCAGGCCAGGGTTCCGACCTGTTATTCATGGGGTTACTATGAGTTGTACTTGACAGAACTAACAACAACAACAATTTAAAAAAATAATAAAAGAGCCCTAAAAAGAAATCCTGGATGTTTCCCTTGTGAATATGTGGGCGTTCAGCTTCAGGTCCACGCTGTAGTGCCTGGTGTGAGGCTGGACCCTGGTGAGTCCAGCAGCAGCTTCACAGTTGGTATTTAGCAGGTTTCATCAGAGGGGAAGCTTCCCCGCTGGCTCCTCTGGCATCCCAAGAGGTCACCCTGGGGAGTTTCCTCAGATGTCAGCTAGTGATTCTGCTTGCCAGACCCACCCTGCAGCCCCACACTGGACCCCTTCCTCTACTACCCAGAAGCCTTCAGCTACACCCTCTCCAATGAGGTCTTACTCTCAATCTCATGATAGAAGACTCTCTCCCAATTTCTTCCTTGAGGAGTCTGCCCAAGTTCTAAGGGATAGCTGTTCCTTACATTGTTATTCCTGTCATCTTCATCTCATGTATCTTGGGCATGTTGCAAAAGGACATCATGTTTACAAAGTTGAGGGTCAGCAAAAGAGAAGACCTTCAATGAGATGGATGGACACAGTGACTGTGACAATGGGCTCAAGTGTGTCAAAGATGAGGAGAAAGGCACAGGTTAGGGTGAGGTTCAGGTTCATTATCCACAGGGTCACTGTTGATTGTGAGTCAACTCAACAGCATCTAACAACAATAGTCATCTATCTTGAGATTTCTCTAAACCTCTTAGCAGTTCTCTAAACCTCTTAGTTCTTAAAACCTCTTCTTTAAATCCTCTGTTGAAGTGGTTGAGTCAATTTTGATTTGTGGTGACCCAATGTGTGCAGAGCCGATCTGTATTTTCAATGATTAGTTTTTGTTCTCGGAAGTAGGTCACAAGATATTTCTCAAACTGCCAACCATTAAGTTTTCAGCCAAGCACATGGTAGTTGTACCACCGAGACCAACATCGTTCTTCAAAACAGTTCTTCTCAACTAGTAGCCTAGAGATCATAGCAGAGTTCTCTGGGTGCTTGTTAAAAGTGCAGGTTACCGGATCTCGTCTCAGAGCAACTGGATCAGAGTCCCTGCACATGGAATCCAGAAACTGGTATTTTAAATGACGCGTAGGCTACTAATGCGTCAATAAGGACCCCTGCCTTCAGAAGTCGAGCAGGAGGAAGTCTAACATGAATTGTTATACCAGTGAGTTGGAACCAACCCATAGCTGGTCCTCTAGTGGGTTTTTAGAGGCAGTAAATTACAAGAGAGGAGATTGCCCATCCTTCTCCTAGGGTGCAGCTGGTGGATTTGAACCACATATCTTTGCATCAGCAGGCAATTCCTTATCACTAATGCCTAAAAAAAAAATACTCCTTTGTCATGTTGAATTTATTCCAATTCTTAGTGACCTAAAATCGAACCTACATCATTTCCAAGACTATAATCTTTATAGAAAGTTATTGCTCTCACAGCCAAGTGTTCAACCACTGTGACACCAGGAATCTTCAATTGTGTGCCCATTGCCAGTTAGGTGAAACACTTAAAGAGCACCTACTTTATGCCAAGGAGCCTTTTTGGTAGCGTGCACAAGGTTCTGGCTGTTTGAGTGCATCAGCCGCTCAATGAACAGAAGAAACATGGAGAGACTTTTCCCATAAAGAATTGCCTCAGAAACGTGATGGCGGATCATTGTAAGTTAGCATTGAACCCTATGGCAAAGCATTTGGGATTGGTTTGTTGTTGTTGTTACTTTGCGTCTGATACAGTGCTGGTGAAATATAACAATGACATGAAGAGGGTTCTTATCCTAACAGTCTCTAACAATATAAGCATGTGGCTTGCCAATAATAACACAGAATAACAAATTTACTATACTGGCTCACTACAGGGAGTTCTGATGGCCTACTGTAAGAAGCTGTGCTTCAATCCCAAAGGTATGCAGGTTGAATCCACCATCTGCTCTGTAGAATAAGGATGGACAAACTCCTTCTGTGCTTTTAAACTGCCTCTGAAAACCCACTGGAGGGTCAGTCAACAATGGATCATTTCCTACTAGCCAGGAAACATCAGCAACAACATACTAGCTTAGACAATGAGTTGTTGTTGCTGTTGTTAGGAATCAAGTCAACTATGACTAATAGTGACAGTGTGAACAAGCGGTCTGGATCTTGCCCTATCCTGTGCCATCTTCATCATCTCTGATATCTTCTACCCATTGTCACAATCATTATGCCAATCTGTCGTGTTGAGGTTCTTCCTTTCTTTCTCTGACCCTCCACATTTACCAGCATGATGGATTTTTCTAAGGACTAATCTTTCCTGACAATATGCCCAAAATATGTTAGGGGAGCTCTGGTACATTAATTGTAAGACATTGCATACTAATCCAAAGATATAGGGTTCAAATCCACCAGCTTCTCTGGAGGAGAAAGATGAGCAATCTTCTGTGCAATTTACTGCCCCTGAAAACGCACTACAGGGTCAGCTATGAGTCAGTTCCGCTGGATAGTACTCAACAACAACAACATTGTGAGACAAAGTTTCACCATCTTTGCCTCCAAGGGGCACTCTGGTTGCACTTCCTCCAAAAAAAGACTTGTTTATTCTTTTGGAAGCCCATGGGTCAATGAATAGGGAAGATCAAAGACTAACTTATGCTTTCGAATTATGATGTTGGCAAGGAACATTGAATACACTGTGGATGGCCAAAACAATGAACAAGTATGTATTGGAATAGTTGCTGCAAAAGTGTTCCTTATAGGTCAGGATGATAATACTTTCTCTCACTCACTTTGAAGATGTCCGGAGGGGTCAGTTCTTGGAAAAGGAATCTGTTTCTAAAAAGCGGAGGGTCAGAAAAGGAGAGAAAGACCCTCAACAGGAAGGACCGTCACACTAGGTGCAACAACGGGTGTTAAGCACAGGCGAGATTATGAGGATGACACTGGATTGGGCAAAGTTTAAGTCAGTTGTACACAGGGAAGCTGTAAGTCAGGAACCTGTAACAACAACATGCTAGGCTTTCTATAGATCATATCGGCTAGCCCTCACAGTAACTAGGCAAGACAGGAATTAGTCTTCCCATCTTACCCTATGATAAGATTGGCACACAGAGACCTTGCCTAAGATAATAAATAGAGCAGCCTTAAGATTTAACTTCACAACTTTCTGAGTCTAATATTCTTTTCAAGAGGTATCAGAGGTCTGTGTCTTCAGGGCCACCAGGTGTGAGTATGTTCTGACAGTGATGGGAACAACTGCTCTGTGAAACCTTGCATGGCTCACAAGGCACAGATTGACAGCGCTGGGACTTCATTTCCCAGCAGCCCTCGCGGCCGCGACAGCCGCGCGGCATGACGGGTACCTCCCCTTTCTCCCCACCTCCCCGAAGCAGCCTGGCTGCGGAGGCTGACGTCATTACTTGGCGCCCGCCGCGCAGCCTCCTGGGATGTGTAGTCCGACCCGGGCGCGGACGCCCCCTCGGATGAATGGGGCGGGCGCCGTATGCGAACTACAGCGGCCGGCCAGCGTGTGGGTGCCGGCCACGGGGACAGGGGACGCCGTGGTGGAGAGCAGCGTGCCCGGGGTCCGGGCGATGCACGGAGGCGCGGCGGCGGGAGCGGCCCGGCTTCCTGGGGTAGCGGTTTAAAGCGGGCGCTTCCTGGGCGCGCTCTGCCGGGCCCCGGCCATGCACCCGGGCCTGGCGGTGGGCCTGGTGTTCGCAGGCTGCTGCAGCAACGTCATCTTCCTGGAGCTCCTGGTCAGGTGAGCGGTCCGCGCGGGTGGGCAGCCTGGACCCCGTGGATCGGCTGTGCAGCCCCGCGCACCCATCGATGTCATAGAGTTAGTGCCCCCACCCCCTCCAGGACCGGATTCCAAACAGTGCTCATTAGCAATTGTAATCACACTCCTCTCGTATGTGATTAATATACCTGCAAATTACTGAGATGGAAAACCGCACAGAGTGTTTGAATATTAACAGCAAAACTGTTTTATGAACTCTACACTGAATTACAGCATCATTAATAACTAAGTAGAACGCTTTTAAAAAGAGTTCTTCCTCTTCTCTCCTTCATTGCTATTTAACTCTCAAAAAAAGTTACTGCCACAGGGCGCAAATACATCTTACCACCCTGTACAGCCTCATTCTTACCTGTGTTGAGTTGGAAACGACCCACAGCCGACCCTCCAGCGAGTTTTCAGAGGCTGTAAATCCTGCAGGAGGCCATTGCAGAGCAGCACGTGGAGTTGAATGACTTGAATGATGGAAGTCTCTGTAAACTTGCATTAACATTAATTTAAAAAGAGGAAAAAAAGGGAAAGACTCCCTCTTTGGGTTATCGGGCCACCAGTACTCACTGCGTATCACGGTATTGTAGCAGAGACAATTTGACAAAGTCAGTAATTGTAAAAACTTTGCCAGCACCAAACCCATGTACTTGCAGTGAGTACAGACGGACGAAAAGAAGCGTCGTTGTAATTGGGTGATGATGACGGCTCTGACCTGAGCACGTTGTGGTGGTGGTTGTTGTTACTGACTCAGGATCACAGTATAAGAATTGATGCCTTTGAGTTGGGTTGTTGTGTAAAAATACTGAATATCCCTTGGACTGTCAAAAGAACAGAAAGATGGGCCTGGGAGAAGTGCAATCCCTTTGCTCCTTGGAGGCAATGACAGTGAAGCTTCATCTCTCATATTTTGGCTATGTTGCTAGGAGAGGACATCAGGCTTGGGAAGGTGGAGGGTCAGTGAGAGAGAGGAAGGCCCTCAATGAGATGGAGTGGCACAGTGACTGCAGCAGTGGGCTCACGTGTGTCTGGTGATAAGGATGGCACAAGATAGGACAGGGTTCAGATCTGTTGTTTATAAAGCTGTGAGTTGACAGCATCTGACAACAACAATCTGATGCGAATGGTTTTACGTTTTTCCACTTTCACCTGTGGAATTCTTCACTACAGGTGAGTCAGCTCAAAGAAGCTGGTACTTGTCTTGTTCCCATCCCTCTCAGGCACTGCCAATTTGCTAAGTGGCTTTGATTTTGTACCGAGGTGCTGTGGCCTTGGCAGAGTGAGAGATGCCAGCTGTACCTCGGAGAATCTTTGATGTTAAAAATAGGGAAATTGTTAACTATAGATTAGCGACCCCGGCCTTCCTTGTGTGTACTGGGTAATCTGATGCTACTTACTTACAGGTTACTGAAACTTGTAAACTGGGTTTGTGAAAACTTTGTTGTTATGACTAACTAACTAACTAACGGAAGAATGTTTTTTATTAACAAAAAAATCAATTTCTGCCACAACACTGCCCAGAAATTTCATAGACTCATTTTGATGGAGCGCTCTAGCCACAGGAAGTTGTAATACTCACTGACACCTCACGCCACCCACCCCCGAGGCTCAGCTAGAATAAGATGGGCAGTCGCCTCCTGTGCTGTTTACAGCCTGGAAAACATAGTGGAAGATCAGCTATGAGTCCGTTCTAACTCAGCAGCAAAGCGCTTGGTTGTTTCGTTATCACCCCCTCTTGCTGTCCACACCCTGGTACACCCCTGGTGATGCCACTGTGCTGATAGCCTGATTTCCCTTCTAGCAGCGTGGTGGGAACACCCCGGGCAATGCAGCATCACCCCCTGTCACAGTCGGGGAGGGGGATGAGAGGTTCTCATGTGACTATCCCAGGGGCAGCTTGACGCTATGGGCAGAGCCCAGGGTTCACACTCCTGCTGATCCCAGTTCCAGTTCTCTTCTCTCTTCCTGTGAATGCTGTATCCTGGACTTGAGCAGGGTTTTTGGCAGGGTGACTTTTGCATGCTCTGTAAACAGTGTTTAATTTCTGTTAAAGGACCCCACACAGCATTTGAGTGAGTGGTTTTAGAGATAGACACGAGTACTTTGCCCAAACATCTGTCTCCCAGCATGGAGCCGATTCTTTACAGAGGTTAGACGAGGTGACTCAGGACAGCATTTGCAGCTGTAAAGTATGTTAGATGGTCTTTAACACGGAGAGCATGTGTTCTGAAGTGTTACTTTATAAATTGAGAATGGTGGTGACACATTTCCAAAGGGAAACTAGGTTGGCTTTCTGGAGGGGCCAGGCAGAGAGCACTGAACGAGAATATGCAAAGTTCAGTGGTTAAGAGCCTTTACAGAAAGAGAGCAGCAGGGGTGGACAAGGCCCGGACCTACAGACGCAGAGTTACCAGTTACAGTGTTGGCTCTGTCACTCACTGGCGCAGTGGCATTTTAGAACCTCCTCACCTGCTGTAAAATGACATCTGTGGGGCCGTCCGGGGCCGTGTTTCTGAGTCTGTGCAGCATCTCTGTGGCCACAGAGAACAGTGCTGTGCAGAAGTCAGGGCTAGTAGGATCATCTCTGCTTTACTGAAAGGAAAACAGAGACCCAGAGAACTTGGTGACCTTTCAAGACCATGCTGCGGTATGTGGCCGAGTGCATTCCACCAAGTTTAAATCCTAGTCCAGTGCCTTTCACAGGGTGCCTGTTTGAACTTGAGCAGCTGTAGGTCACGGGCATACATTGTGCATGTGGTGATTACTATGTCTTTTATCTTCATGATGCCATTAAATCCCTTGGAGGCAACCAGCATACTGAAGGTGAACTTTCTGCAGGATTATTATTTGTGTCCTGGAGTTTGAGGGTTTGCTCTGCAGAAGGTACTGATAAACATCTGTCATTTGTCATTCTCAGGAGCAGGTGCTGAGGGGTGTGAGTATAGGGAAAAAAATAATAAACATTTATATATATATATTCATTCAGCCTTAAGTCTGGAACATCTCAAATGAAAGTCACCTTGGAAATGGATTTTAAAAAACATAAAACAGCTATCTAATCAGGCCAGCCATGGCAATGAATGTCAGAAAATAACAGTGTAAGACTGGCGTTGGGTATGCCATCATTTCAGTGCAATCTTCCGGAAGACATTCTGACATCGGAATATGCTATCAGCGGTCGCCTCTTTTTAATCGCTGTGAGTCCAGGTCTAAATTGCTTCATCTCTGAATCGGCTCTCGAAACTGTAGAAAGGAGTCTGTGCTGTTACAGAGACACCACAGGTGAACAGAAGTTGATTGTCTTACTGTCTGGGAGTCGAGATTCCTTGTGCCGGCTCTGTAGGACAACCTGCACGCGCTCAGTCTAGCTTGCTCACCCTCTCTCTCTCTCTCTCTCTCTCGCTCTCTCGCTCTCTCTCTCTCTCTCTCTCTCTCTCTCTCTCTCTCGCTCTCGCTCTCTCTCTCTCTCTCTCAGTTGGTTGTGGGAAAAAGCCTGTATTTTCTTTGGCATCTACAGGTCTAGTGTTCAGGAAGCCAGGGCCCTAGGCCCGAGATGACCCCCAGCTCCTGACTGATTCTTTCTTAATGTTGGTGAGCTCCCCTCCTTGGGCTCACTTTTCTCTCCTTTTATCTGTAGTGAGAGAAAAGGTGCACCAGACCACACCCTCAAAAGGTTCTTCTTAGATCCAGCTAGTGCCATGAGGTAATGAAGGGGTGTCGCATTCCCCCCTTACTCCTTTAAGGGCGATTGGTTTATTTAGTTCATAAGAGAGCATCAGAAAGATAGGTGTGCCACATTGTATTGTTGCATACAAGTATTTTAGGAGGGAAACAATTCTGTCCATACTAGGGTGGTTACTGTTCCTCCTCAGTTTGATCTTGAAGGATCACATGTGACCCTGAGTGAAGCCAGAAGTGTATTGTAAAGGGACAGTGGGGCGGGGGAGAAGGCAGGCAGAAGCCAAGCCAGGTAGTTGTCTTTGAACTGATTCCAGTTCTTGCCAGCCCCATATTCCCATAGACTGGGTGAAACTGCACTCTGTAGGGGTTCCGAGGCTCTGACTTTAGAAGTAAATCACCAGGGGCTTCTTCTGAGCTGCCTCTGAATGAGTTTGAACCACCAGCCTTTTGGTTTGTACTTGAATGGTTTAAAGGTTTCCATCACCCAGTGACCTAAGTACGGTATAGCAGCCTCTGTTTAGAATGCGAGAAGTAATTTGAAAATACCTAATCATTCCTCATTTATCTGGACTTTGCATACACAATTGGGGTTTGTTTGTTTTCTAAGTGAGGAGAAGGCACATTTATTAATATGAATGGTACCCCAGCCTTTTCCTAGGTTGCTCAGGCAAGTCTCAAGCAAGCCTCCTGTTCCACTGAATACAGCCACGAGTTGGTTGGACCAAATGACGTTCAAGGCTTTTTGTAAATATGGCCTTCTTGGGATTTGTGTCGTGATGTAGCAGTGGAAAGCTCGTAAAGCTTTATAGAGCAGACCGTGTGCTTTTTATGGGACTCCCTCAGAACGCGGATGTGACCTAATAAAAGGCAAATGGGACTCTAAATAGAAATGGAATGTTAAGTGACAGGCAGGAAGGAGAGATTGTTTTTAACTGTATGCCTCAGGGTGGAAAATAAATTTCCATCATCCTATCTGATTTCTGTCCCAGTGATTGGATTGTATAATAAAGTCTGCACATACACACCACACCCCACACACACACACACACACACAC